TCAGGAACCAGTTAGAGTGGTATACATCCAATTTTCAGTATACCAGGACATATTGTATCATGTAAAGATTGAACTGGGGCAAGTTGTGGAACAGCTGATGGTACCCAAGTCTCACACAAAGATGGTATTGGATCTGTGTCATTATCATGTGTTGGGTGGTCATTTAGAAGTAGAAAAAACAAAAACAAAGGATTAAGTGGTTAAGCAGCCAAAGCCCACCAGGGGGCACCAACATATACTGGTAGTCCTTGACTATGCTACCCGGTATCCAGAAGCAATCAGAAACCCATTCTTTAAGGTTATTGCTAAAGAGCTGTAAAAGAATCTCCAAAGAAATGTTGACAAACCAAGGAACCCCTTTCATGTCAAAGGTAACCAGGGAGCTGTTACGGTACAATATACTAGAAGGGAGGGCTGTGCCCCTGAAACACAACTGTTTGAGACTTATCTAAAAGATCTGTTCTGGTCTTTATGGATTTGGCACTTGTATTTAAACAATTCTCTTCTAGGTTTGCTTACAACATGGTGGGCTGCTGCTAATACTGTTAGTACAGTTTTCTGGTATAGCCCTACCCTCCTCGATTTATACCCCTCCTCGATTTAAGGCTCCCATTTTGGTCAAAGCAGTCCTGATGCAGAGTCTTTCCTTTAAAAGCAGATCCAAACAAATCACTTTTAAATGTAATTTTAAAAGGTATTTTCAATCTTTTTAAATCTGCTGCATACATTCAAATTATGCCCGGGGGAGCCTGCTATGAAGGTCTTTGTTTAATGCACTACCTGTTACGTGGTGACAACTGTCTCCCAATTGTACTCCCATATTATCACTGTCACATGCACAGCACTCTTTAAAGGATAAAAAAATCTTGAGGGTCCCCATGCAAAAACACACAAAAAAACGGGGTTCCTCCTTCACATCAAGGTCACTACTTCACATCAGATGTAGAAGGATAAGCCACCAGTACACCAGGATCCACTATATCTTCCCGTAATTTATGAAGGTCAGATAAACATGGTATCACCTGAAGGGACCATATACGGTTCCGAAACTTTGCATCCATATGTGATATCATGTTTATCTGACCTTAATAAATAACAGGAAGATAAAGTGGACCCTGGTGTGCTAGTGGCTTATCCTTCTACATGTTGATTTGTGCGGCGCCACTCGCTGCCACTTCAGCACCGCTAAAGTATTGTGAATGGCATTCCAGTAAGAAATGCGATAGGACCATTTCTGATTCCCACTTCACATCAGAATCCCCCCTTTTGCATCAGAGTCCCCCTTTACATTAGGAGCCCTCCTTCACGCCCTTTACATCAGAGCACTCCTTTCATATCTGATTCTCCCATTTTCACATCAGAGGATCCCCTTTCAGATCAGAAGCCCCCTTCACATCAGAGTACTCAGTCCACCTTTATATCAGAGTTCTCAGTCTCCTTCATATAAGTGTCCTCAGTCCCCAATCATATTACAGTAGAGTCCTCAGTGTCCACTTGACATCAGAGTTCTCAGTCCACCTTCATATCAGAGTCCTCAGTCCCATTCATATGAGTGTCCTCAGCCACCCTTCATAACAGAGTCCTCAGTCCCCTTCATATGAGTGTCCTCAGCCACCCTTCATATCAGAGTCCTCAGTCCCCCCTTTACATCAGAGTCCTACCATCACAAGACTTTGAAGCACCCCTGAGGAAGCCAGAAGGAACCCCAGGGTGCCACGGTACACTGGTTGAGAAAGGCTGATGTACAGCACTTTAGCCAACTAAATGCCATCTAGTTAGGATTTAGATCTACTTTGAAACCTGATGTGACACCATGTTGAACTACTGATGCAAACATCTATTAGGAGTGGACTATTTTGTTCCATTTTTAGCTATTGTGTGTTTAAATTATGCATCCGCATCTCTTATATGAACTGTACAATTTACATTGTTTGTCAAAACTTAATACAGTCCCATCGATGAAGTGTCGTTTTCTACTCTGCTCTCGTTACTTTCTTATCGAATTAGATGGTCTGGACCTAACCCACATATTAAGGAGTTGTTAATTCTGTCCCTATTAATCTCCAAGAAAATCCAAACAGGAAAAGATGTAAAGTGCAAACAGTTTATGTTTGAGCAGAGAAAGCAGTGCCAGGAGCTGCGCACACTAAGCCCACAACAGTGCACGGACGATAGTGGGGGTGGCGGTTACAGGGACAACAAAGTGCACACTGTAAAGGGGGATTATTGGATCACAAGGAAAGATTTGGTCATTTCTGCTCTAGATCTTAATGGGTGAAGACAGAAATAAGTGGGGCACAACAACTCAGAGCTGAATGGTGAGTAACCTTCTAACGATGATTGGACTGTCTTGGTTTACTGTTAATTATTATGGATTACAAACATCCTATTTAGAATAAAAGATATTCTGACTCATCTCATACTCCACCTAGGTACACAGCATTCCTAAGATTAGGTATAAACTCTGCCAACATACAACTTGAAGGACCCATACCTGGCAAACAACTCTTAAAGGGCCAGTTAACCAAACATTACAAAATGACTACATTTCATATATAATATTAATATATTTATGGAGTAGAATATATATAGATGTGTGTATGCATTTTCCAGAATATTTTATGACTATTTAACTTACAGTACCCTATATGACCACCAGGTGGATGTGATGCCATTTACTTGTAAGCTGTGTCTACTGTATAGACTGTGTAACTTTATATTATGTGGGAGAGCTCATAAACATTGTATCTATGTGTTGGTTGAGCATATTATTCTAATGTTGATGTGAATTGTTACATGTCTACTGAGAACAGCAATTTATATTGTCACTGTGTGTTAAACTACTGCTAATAAGCAGCAGAAAACAAAATGGAGGAATTTAACATCACTGGAGCAGACAGAATCTGGAGCAGTTACCCAGGGCAACCAATCAGCTTCTCTCTTCATTTTGCTCAGTTATGCTTTGAAAATGAAAAAGAGACACTGATTGGTTGCCATGTCTGCTCCAGGTTTGATCAATTCCCCTCCTTCTATTTAGTATAAAGTGAAATGTGTTGCATGACAAATGCTTTTCGATCACAATGTCCTTACTATTCTGAAACTACATGTGATTGATTATCTGTCTGCATTTTAAAGGGCAAACTATTAAGTGTAAAAGCCAAGGTAGTATAAGCACCCATTTAGACTTTGCATATAGTCATTGTGCTTGGCATTATTTTTGGGTACATTCACACCAGCAGCCGCGCTCAAAAGCGCTCAATCTGTACTACAGCCAAAACATTTTTGGGGGGATATGGAGTAGAGTAGAGTTGTAACCTCTGCATCTCTGCTGGGGAAATTCACCAGAAAAATTCAGACAGAAAAAGTTGGGAAATTCCAATTTTAAGGCTTTTACCAGAACAGGAGGTGACAACTGTCAAAGAAGGGGTTTTCACTCTCTTTGGAGAGATTTCAACTCACTTCCTGGGTTGTCTTTTGAACAAAAAGTAAAGGGAAATACCCCCAATGAGATGCACACCCTTTGTTCTTAATCTCCAATACAAGGGGAGTAGGAGAAGTAGTAGTTTACAAAGGATAGCTTAGAAATAAGATTATAATGATTATTATTCAGGATTTATATAGTGACAACAGTTTGCGCAGCGCTTTACAATATAAGGAAGACATTACAATCACAATACAATTCAAGACAAGATGGTAAGGAGGTCCCTGCCCATGAGAGTTTACAATCCAAAAGGGAGGGGGAAGTGATACAAAAGGGGGTAGCTGTGTGGGGATGAGTTATTTGAGAAAGTGATAGTTTAGCAGTTAGGTAGAAGTGGGATAGGCTTCCCTGAAGAGATGAGTCTTCAGTAATTGTTTAAATGCAGACAGAGTAGGAGATAGCTAGACAGGTTGGGGTAAGAAGTTCCAGAGGATGGCAGAGACTCTAGAGAAGCCCTGGAGGCAAGCATGAGAGGAGTTGACAAGGGAGCTAGAGAGCAAAGGGTCTTGGTTAGGGTTATACTTTGAGATGCGGTTGGAGATAATAGCCAGAGGCAGAGTTGTGGATGGCTTTCTAAGTGGTTGTTAATAATGTTTACAGTTTGAGTTCAATTTACATTTAGGGGGTTATTCACTAAAGAGCCGAAGAAACCAGCTGTAGCTTCGGCTGATCCTTCGGATCTCTTCGGCCGCTAGAAGCCCTTCGGTTCAGTGGGACCGAAGGGCTGCTGTACATGCTATTCAGAATAGCCCGTATAGCAGCCAAGGCGGCCGAGAGGCTCAGCTGAGGGCATATGCTTCAGCTCGACTGAGCCGAAGTGACAGCCGAAGCGGGGAGAACGGCCTGCCGAAGGGCCGGCCGTTCTCCTCGCAAATGACAGCTGGGCAGAGCCAGCCTTGATCTCACGGTTCGCTCCGCCCAGTTGTAATGACAGATCAGCATCCCCAGGTCATCTGTCGTTAAACAATAACAACTGGGCGGAGCAGGCCGAAGGCAGCCGATTTTAGCCGATATACGGCTGAAATCAGGCGTACAAGCCAGAAGTGAATAGCCGAACAGCGTTCGGCTCACTTCACTTCGGCTGGGTTATTCACTCGGCTGCCTTCGGTAGCTTTGTGAATAACCCCCTGTGTGATAAGGGAAATGTATTTCTAGCACAATTAACAGTTATTTTCTGTTTGCTAATGCAGCCCTCACATCTAATGACTAGTAAGCTGAAATAAATACAATTTTTGTTCCTGGGTTTAGATACGCTTTAATCTTCAAAAGAAGGTGATGGAAGTTTACACAAATAACTATAGGCCTAGATCTCCTTCTATCCTGGTAGTAGGATAATATGATCATAGCAATAATGTAAAAGCAGGTGAGTACTTTTTGTATATTTTTTTGCGATAGGTTCCAGAAGGGTTTCCTAGTGGAAATATTGAGAACACTGTTCACGTTATCTCTTTGTAATCACTATCATAATCTCTATCACTATCATAATCGCTCCACCCAATTACCAGGATTACCTGTAAACATGACGGTCACCTACAGTAATCGTGTGGCAGACGCTAAGCTTGGCACTTTCTCTCGGTTGCTCCTTCGCTGGAGAGGCAGTATCTACAAATTATTATACAGAGAGTTCTTCATCTTCATCAGCTTCTACTCCATTATCAGTGCCACCTACAGGTAATCTCTACGGTTATGTATTATAGGCTATCGAAAGGTAACAAAGAATGTTTTAGTATATTTAGTTTGTATTTTAGTATAACGTTCAAGACCAACGATAACAAAAAGTTACTTCTTTTTGGTAGGGTAATATTTAATATGAATACTTCATATTTCCCATATGTAGCCAGCAGGTGGTGCACTTGATGCAAATTTCTGCTAAAAACTGGCTATACAAGTGTAGATGTTTATACTCATTTTCATACAAAAATCAGAACATTCAATAAGGTCATCAGAGACTTGACGAAAGTCATTTTAATTTTTTTGGTTTTAACATTTGATTTTGGTAATAAATTGAGTTTCTCAAACGAAAACCTAATTAAGAACACATTCACACCTGGCCGGTTGCTGATCAGCGCGGTTACCGCGCTGATCTCGCAAGGGATTAGCGCGATTCCATTGAAATCTGTATGGAATCCGCACTGATCAGCGTGGCTAAAATCGTGCAGGGAGAAGTTCGGGCGGAGGGAGGGGCGGTTCGGATCGCGCGGACCCGCACGGTCGCATGAATGGTCCCAATAGTATGGTATGGGATCGTTCATGCCGGCGGATCCATGCGGCCGAACCGCCCCGTTGTGAATGGGATCTCACTGGTAGAATTTTGTTTGTGCAAAACTTTCCATCCCGTTCCTTCTATTTTTTTCATCGCTCTGGTTGAAAAGGATCGTTGGTTTGGCCCCATTAACTTGAACGAACGCACAGAAAATGACTTTCTACTGGTGTATGGACAGCTTAAGCCATTTACCTGCTATGTTGCTATAGCCTCATTTTCCTAGTGAAATTTTAGTTCCTGGTTTTCTCTTTTTGACACAGACAGCTGAATGAGTCAGAGGAGGGATACCCTTCTTCCCAACTATAGCTCTTTTAGCCTCCTGTAGATTTTCTGTTAGAGGGACAATCAAAATCTGGGTAGCCACTGCTGGGGTTGGTGATCAGAAAGCCTAATATGCTCTGGAAACAAAATATCATGGGAGTACTCTTTTTTTTTATTCAATTAATGAGGAAAAAATGTTTTTAATTATCTTTTGATAAACAAATACACTGCCTGGCAAAATAAAGTCACACATTAATATTTCATTGGACCTCCTTTAGCTTTGATTACGGCACGCATTCACCATGGCATTGTTTCTATAAGCTTATGCAATGTCACAACATTTATTTCCGTCCAGAGTTAATTTTTCACTAAGATCTTGTAGTGATAATGGGAGAGTCAGACCACTGTGTAAAGTCTTCTCCAGAACATCCCAAAGACTCTCAATGGGGTTCAGGTCTGGACTCTGTGGTGGCCAATCTATATGTGAAAATGATGCCTCGTGCTCCCTGAACCACTCTTTCACAATCTGAGCCCAAAGAATCCTGGCATTGTCATCTTGGAATATGCTGTGCCATCAAGGAAGAAAAAAATCCATTGATGAAAAAATCTGGTCATTCAGTATATTTAGGTAGACAGCTGACCTTATTTTTTGGGGACATAACATTGCTGAACCTAGACTATCCAATGGAAGGCTCTGGCCTTTGCTTAGCTAAATCCAGGTGATTACTTTTTGGGGCCAGCCAGTATTTAAATGAAATAACACTCAGTAAAAACCATTATAATTTCAAGTCAAATCAGAAATTGTAGATGTGTATGTTTTATAGTCATACCTCTATAAACGAAATATAACACTGATGCATGATAACAGAAAATAGTTAAAAATCAAAAATAGTTTTGGGTAAAAACATGCAGCTCCAATGATTCATACAGGCCTGCAAGTCCCTCTCAGGACTGGTTTCTGGACCAGTGCTGTTTAAGACAGAAAACAGCATTACAAAATACATACTGTCTATGCTTTAATGTCAGTGGAATATGAAGAGGACATAATATCAATGATTTTAATGTCAGTGGAATATAAAGAGGACATAATATCTATGATTTCATGCTAGTGGAATATAAAGAGGACATAATATCTATGATTTCATGCCAGTGGAATATAAAGAGGACATAATATCTATGGTTTCATGTCAGTGGAATATAAAGAGGACATAATATCTATGATTTCATGCCAGTGGAATATAAAGAGGACATAATATCTATGGTTTCATGTCAGTGGAATATAAAGAGGACATAATATCTATGATTTCATGTCAGTGGAATATAAAGAGGGCATAATATCTATGGTTTGATGTCAGTGGAATATGAAGAGGACATAAAATCTATGATGTCATGTCAGTGGAATATACAGAGGACATAATATCAATGGTTTCATGCCAGTGGAATGCTTTCAGAGGTCATGTTAAAAGTGCTGCCTCCATCATTGCATGTTTCTGGCCACATAGCTCTATACACCTCATTATAAATAACATTGTTTTACCATTGCAGGTCTGAATAGGAAAAAAAAAATAAGATAATGAAACAAGGAGCAACTTACCACTACCTAATATTTTGCCACCCTAGACTTTTGCTTTGTGGACTTTCCACAAATCCAGGACTGGTTGAAACACTGGATTCTGTTATGGATCCAAGCAGAATTCCATGCAAGGGCATTATTCAGTGACTACAGTTTTAGAGCTCTGGAGTCCATAAAAATTATTCCTTCATTAGGGAAAAAGTGGGCTGGAGGGCATAAGGGTATTTGCCCCCTGGGTGAGTATTAATAGGATATGTTGGGTTGTTGGCCCTTAGTGGAGATACTTCACCATTAAGACATTGACCAGAGTGGGACCTGCAATCAGTCACACGTTCTGGGCATTGCATAGCCATCTTCTCTCTGTTCAGACCTGGAATCAAACCTGGCAGAGGAAAGTCTTCCTGCCTTGACTTCTGTTGTGGCTCCTAAATATGAGATGTGTCCTAATGCAGAAGATGCTGATGCTGGAAGCTGTGAAAAGCTGTGTCACAATTAGCCATATCCCTTAGGAACACCCACCTTTTACCATGCTCAGCAATAAGTTACGCACCACTTGAGCCCACCGAAATCTGTCACAACCATGAAAAGGCTACAAGGTTGTGTCCCCCCCAGGCCAAAGGTTCCCAGTTTTCCCCTGCCTCCACTTGAAAAACAACCTTCAGGCTAATGCGGTTTTACAGCTTTCAAGACAAGTAAAAGCTCTGCAGTCATAATAATTAGCAGCTAGTTAATTATAATGTATTATAGAATAAGTAGATATATTTCATTTGTTCAAAGTCAGTGACATTTTCAGGACACAATGGTTCTTTAAAGGGAATGAATAATAAAAAATAGTTGGTGAAACTATAGTTCCTACTGCAATTTATGATATTGCTGTCATTAATGAGTCACCTCCACTGATCTCCAATGTATGGCACTGACCTATTTTCATTTGTACTACAGGCTCCTTCTCAATGAGCAGCAGAGGAGTCACTTTGAGAAGCTGGCACTTTACTGTAACAACTATGCAGAGCTGATTCCAGTGTCGTTTGTCCTAGGTAACACTTAGATTATTCTTCACGTCACCTATTTGTAGTAGAATGATGGCTATGATACATTCTCACATGCACTTTATAAAGAGGTCACCTAAATGAGATTGACAGTGATGGAAAGCTGCAACTGAAGATTACATGTACATCTCCACCTCATGGCAAATATGATATCACTGCAAATCCATAACATACAAAGATCTCTATGAGAACCTGTTGTAGTGGTGGAACCTTAGTCTTTCAAATATTGTAAATAGCAGCAGGAAGGACCCATTATAAGACAACTGTGGAACATGTGGTCCCCTTACTGTGTTACTACATGGAGAGGTCTCATTGAGATAACCAGCCTTTTTGTCAGTGACAGAGCACTGGTATTCATCATCTAGGGAGTGTCAGAAGGTCTAGTTTGATATGATTGCTTTTGATCTCAGTGCAGGGCCTTAGCTAGGGCGAGGCGATTGAGGCACTCGCTGTGAGGAGAGAGCTGCTCGGCCAGGATCTGACTGCCGGCGGCTCTCCTCTCTCCTCACCGCTGGGCCATCCTGAAGTGACGGCACTCCACTCCCTTCTGCCGGCTTCAGTACTTCACTTCTCCTCGGATCTCCCCGCTGCCTCTGCCCATGCAGGCGGGGGAGAGCAGCAGGGATCCGAGAACAAGCTGCAGGCTGAGCGGCTCAGGATGGAGATCGGAGGATCGGTAAATATCAGTGATCACTCCAGTGTTTGTAAATAACTGGGGACACATAGTTCTATGTGTCCCCAGTTATAAATGAATGCTTTACATCACTTCCTGTTCATTCATGAGTTTCTGAATGGGTAGTAGCACTCAGTACAGAGACTTCTCCCCATTCAGAAACTGGTTGATAGTAAATATTTTCTGAATGAATGGGAAGCCTCTGTACTTTCTATTCATTTAGAACAGACGCTGCAGAAAAAACTAAACTTAGGAGTTAAATCATAAAAATGCATTCTATTACCCTAACTATTAACGAAAATGTAGCTCATTTGGGCAGCACTCAGCTGTAGATTCTCAAATCATCTCTGAATTGGTGCTGACACTGTCCTTCCTTCTGGAGGCTGGCTACTTTGTTGCTCATGATCCCTGTGTGTGTTGTAAAGTAGACACTGCTCCAAGCTCGCTCCCGTGATGGACTACAATCTCTCGTTTAGTTTTCTAATTTGTATTGAGATTGTAGTCCATCACAGGAGTGAGCTTGGAGCGGTGTTAACTTTACAACACACACAGGGACCATGGGGAACAAAAGTAGCCACGTTCCAGCAGCACCAATTCAGTGATGATTTGAGGATCTACAGCTGAGTGATGCCCAAATGAGCTACATAACAAGGCGGTAACCACGAGCCACACTCGGGAATACAGCGTAGGACTTACCTTGTCTGCGATCCCCACTGTGTCCTTCGGCGGCTGGCGACTTCTGGGTTCCGTCCCTTGCGAGCGGCCACATCGCAGGGGGGCAGAACCCGCGGGAAGTTTGAAAGTTAAAAAAAAATATATAGAGAAAATAATAAAGGGAAAAAAATCATACCGCCAGTGAAACACGCGTTTCACTGAACGGAAAAAACTAGCAGAAAAAAACTCGCCTATGCTACGCCCAGGTGTGAACCCAGCCTAAATGCATTCTTAAGATTTCATTCCTGGGTTTAGTGTCACTTTAACTTGTGTTATAAAACTCTGCATAGCCATATTTGCATACTACAGTCACCCGGGTTTTACAGCTATTGCCACATAACTGTATACTATAATCAGATCTTTCCTGGACTTTTGTTTTCAAGTTAGTTCTGATCTCTAAATAACACCATTGTGACATACATTATACTTATCACATGTGTAATTGTCATTAAAGGGTTGCGTAAGCAAACTATGGCGCTTGGTAAACACTGCTGCCTACACATGCATGAGAGGTTTAAACAGGTTTATAATCAGATTATAGAGTCTTAACAATGTTTATTGATGCTGTTCTGCATGAAAGAATATTTACAGCTTCTGGATATTTGTGCCGTGTACTCACAGTGATTGTGTCTGCTTGTATTATAATTATAAATCACATAAGCTGTACGTATCATCAATAGAAAAGGGTGAAGAAAGCTTTTGGCCTCATTGCAGAGATCACTGCACCTAACAAAACAGCTGTACAGGCATAGAAAGGATCCCTACCTCCTCTGTGATAAAGAGACCCTTCCTATTAGTCCTGATGGCCATCGTCACTGAGACAGAATGTAAAAAGGGCTAAGCGGAACATTTTCCAAACACATTCTGCCTAATTGTTTTGTAGACATGTGCAATTCGTTCCGAACCGTAATTGGAAAAAAACTTCGTAAATTCGGACATTCGGATGTATCCGAATTCCAAATCACAGATATAATGAGTGCAAACGAATCCGAATTTCAGATTCCGAAATTCGTTAGTGGTAGTGTGGACGAAATTTCGTTGCAGCAAAATGACATTAGAAAAGGGGGGGGAAAGCACCAGGTCCCCCCTCCAATACATACCAGACCCTCTAGGAATGTTAGGAGGGATCCCCCCAAGTTAAAATTTAAAAAAAGAGCGTGGGGTTCCCCCCAATATCCATACCAGGCCCTTTAGGTCTGGTAGGAATTTTAAGGGGGAACCCCAGCCCCAAGAAATGGGGGGAGGAAACACGGGGTCCCCCCTAACAGACCCTTGATGCGAGCACTCGGCCGGCAGGGCAGGAAAGGGGGGATGATCGAGGGCCCCCTCCCTCCGTGCGCCTTACCAGGCCACGTTCCCTCGGCATTGGGAGGGTGTCCCCATCCCAATGGGGACAAGGGCCTCTTTCCCACAACCCTGACCCGGTGGTTGTGGGGGTCATGCGGGCAAGGGGGCTTATTTGCATCAGGGTACCCCTTTAATTAAGGGGCACCCAGATGCTGCCGCCCCCCTTGTGAATGAGTAAGGGGTACTTGCACACCTACCCATTCACTAAAGTGTTAAATAAAATAGTTATTATAGTAATAATAGTAAGTAATAGTTATAATAGTCCAGACTTTTGATAAAATCCTTTAATTGAAAAATAAAAACCAAAGAGCCAATTTTTGACTATTCCTTTAATTTAAAAAAATTAAATTAAAATGGCTCCATTGATGTAATCCATCGTCGTTCACGATGCACAACGCCCTTTGCCCCTCCGCAATTAAAAAAGTCCCGCCGCACGATGAC